CCAAAAATAAATTATTTCATTATTAAACTTAAATTAAATTATAATAAAAAAATTTAATTAAAGAAATTACATAAAAAAATGAGAACTTTTAAATAGTTGATTTGATATTAAAATTGATATATATATTTTTTCAAATTTATATTTTATTCAAAAATAAAATCATTATTGCTTTCTTAAAACACATAATCTATACTATATTATAAACATTTGACAAAAACTCTTAAAAACAACTTTTTATGCGCAAAATACTGTTTATTAATGCATATTACTTAAAACTCAAGATTGCAAGTAGATTGTGCATAAGTAAAACTTATTAAAGCTCTATATCTGAATTCGTGTAACTAACTACAGATAAACATAATCAAATACAAGATAAACATCTCATTCTAAATATAAAAAATCTAAAATATAATTAAGATAATCATTGAGTTCTAACAGAATACTTAAAGTTGTAATCAAGAGATTAAAACTTTATGCATAAATCTGTTCTACTTTAAATATTAAAAGTTGTTTTTAAGATTACAGTGAATATGCTTTGTAAAATAGTATAGATAAGAATTAAATAAAAAATAGTTAACATTTTATTCTAGTTTTTTAAGGCTATTCTTTAATGGGAAGTAGATGCTCAAAATTAATTATAGCTTCCTACGAAGCAACAAGAGTGTATGTATCTCTGACTGCATTGTGTCTCTAATTATAGAAGTTTCAGTTGCCGGAATCATTGCCGACCGGCGAAGATAATCACCAATCATGTTATAAACCAATCATGTTATAAATATTTTCCGATCCATACTCTGATTTTTTTTATTTTTTTATTATTTTTAATTAAGAGAGCGAAAAATCTGAGGACATAAATAAATGGCAGTTACGATCGACAATTATTTCTTAAAAAATAAGATTTGTATTTTAGATTGACTAGAAGAGTAGTACCCGTGCAATGTAGCGAGACACATCTCGATTTTAATGTTCTATGTTATTATTTGTCTTTATTTTATGTTATAATACGATTTTATGTGTTTTTAAGAAAGCAATAATTATTTTATTTTTGAATAAAATATAAATTTGAATATATCATAAAAATTTTAAAATATATATATCAATGTTAATATCAAATCAAATATTTAAAAGTTTTTATTTTTTATGTAATTTCTTTTTTTGTTATAATTTAGTTTAAGTTTAATAATGAAATAATTTATTTTTGATGTAATATTATAAATTTTATTAAGATAATAATTAATATTCTGCTAGAACTCAATGATTATCTTAATTATATTTTAAATTTTTTATATTTAAAATAAGATGTTTATCCTRTATTTGATYRTGTTTATCTGCAGTTAGTTACACGAATTCAGATATGGAGCTTTAATAAGTTGTACTTACGCACAATCTACTTGTAATCTTGAGTTTTAAGTAATATGCTTTAATAAAAAATGGTTTTTAAGAGTTTTTGTCAAATGGTTTATAGTATATATATATATGATCAGTTTAAAATATCATTTAGGTACGTAATGCATGAGTTCTGGTTATCTTGCAACAACAACCTTCTATTATAATTATGAATCAATATTCATAAAATCATAATTATGTAATATGCATTAATAAACAGTATTTTACGCATAAAAAGTGGTTTACGCATAATTAGTTCAATATGTTATCTTGTTCAGTGGGAGATTGTAATACATGAAGAAAACAAGTAACATATTTGCTAAATTCATATTTTTATGACCAGTTGAATTATGTAAATTAAGAGTTGATTTATAATACTTATAAGTTTATTGAATGATCAGTCTTGAGAATACATATTGTGGTATAAATATAAGGTATGAAGGGACACAACCCTTGGTATGGTGGTTATTAACAGTTACCTGATGGGGGTAACTGTTAACCTGTTAAGAAACGTACATATATGCCATCCATACCCTATTTCATGCCTCATCCAGTACACAAAATCTCTGCTTATCCTTATCCATCAAAAGGGCATAATATGGTGTGAAACTGGAAGAAGACGATGGAGCAACAAGTACACGAAACAGCATCAAGCCCCACTGTACCAGGTTAGATTTCGTTCATTTACAGTCTCGTTTTCATTGATTCATGTTAGATGGTTCATATATAGAATCTTACAGTTCGTCCCAAGACTTGATTTTTTTTTTTTTTAAATTACGATCATTGTGAAGTTAATTTCATAACAAAATTCAAGAAAAATTGTTTATGGGAATCAGAGCAAGTCTTGCGAAGATGAAGATGGAACACAAAAAGACAATTGATGATTTTGAAGAGAAGTAGGACCAAAGTGGGGCTTAAAACCTGCAAGAAACAGTTTCTGGAATCACATAATGGTTTCGAGTTTGGATTAAACTTCCAAGTTCCAAGCATTTGATCTTCACTAGAATCCATTACATGCATGTTATGTGGTAAAAACTAATAAAATAATTCATAAAATCAAATAATATATATATATATATATATATATATAAAATATTGGGTATGGAGGGCAAGTACAGCATCATATGATAGTATGTATGTCTGAAACATGTCATATGTGTAGGGGAATCTTGTTTGTGGGTTTGTCGACAAAACTGTGCAACTATTAAATTACAGATTTAACATGGTTTTATACCCATCTCCCATTTCTACTTAATTTGGAAAAATCACTTCCAGATTTGAAGCTAAACCAGATGATCATGCCCATGATCCAATTGCCAACATTGTCTCCTTCCTTCATATATAATATATACACACACACACTGTCCTATGATCTACTCAAAATCACCTTGTGACACTCTGATGATACCAACACTAATCCCTTCATATAAAAAATAAAGAATATCGGATGAACCGGCAAGTGACTCTGGTCCTGCCATTAATGGAGGCGACAACACTTCGATTGCCCATTCTCTCTCTCTCTCTCTCTCTCTCTCTCTCTCTCTCTCTCTCTCTCTCTCTCTCTCCCTCTCTGCACATAACTCTATGCGCATGTATATCAATCTAAACACACGGAATTCTATATAACCTCATGATCACATCTAGCTAGCTATATATAAGTAAGCCATCAGCTATTCTTCTGTGCAACTCAACTCTTAATCAAGTCGTTCAAAGTTGTTTACAACCTTAATATATAGTTAGCTAGCCATGAGTTTCCCAGACCTAAACCTACCAGAAAACGAGTGCACCTTAGACCTTTTGCATGACCCTAACTCCTCTTCTCTTTCTTCTTCATCAAGCAACCCGGAGCAACGAGTTTTCTCATGTAACTATTGTAGGAGAAAATTTTACAGTTCGCAAGCACTTGGAGGCCACCAGAATGCTCACAAGCTTGAACGGACCTTGGCAAAGAAAACTCGATACCAAATGAGACCTTGGAACCACCAGACATCAAACCATGTTGCCAATGGTTCGAACCAGCTGCATGTTGGTTGGGTTCAGCCACCCTTCACTATGGGGATGGATGATCATCAGGGAAATGTTGGGATGGATTATTGTCATAAGGGTGAGAGTGTGCAAGAAAGTTTCCATCAGCTTGACTTGTCTCTTAGGCTCTGATCAGCAACTCACAGTAGTTTTATATATGTTTCATGATCCATCTCTGAATCAATAAACGTTTTTATTGATATCGTAATTTATATCTATCTACTTGTGTTAATTTTAACCATCGGTACGAGATATTATTATAAGTAAATGTAGAGTATGTTTGGTTGGTGTTTCATTATTCATGTATGGATAAAGTTTGTATAAATTAATTGTCTTTACAGATCCGAAGGTTTTCTAATTTATTTTCCGGGTAAGATTGTAGTACATCAAAATGATATCGTATGCAACAATTTGTTTGGTAAGCGCTTACCCGGGTAAGAAATCTCTATCTTTATCATCGCTCTTACTCGGTAAGATTATTGAGTCTTGTTATGTTCATCCGGTAAGAAAAATTGTCTAATAAGCACCAATCGGGTAAGCGATTAATAAACGGCCCCTAAGTTAACTCAAAATAATATTAACCTAATAAATTATTGTAAATATCATCTTTAGGTATATTGTAATAGAAGTAAGAGGCGAAATTGTTTAATCACTAACCAAAAAAATGTTGGCTTTTTGCCAATCTTTGTTGTTAACGGAATTGTTGACCTCGTAAGTTGCGATTGTGGTGTCATAAAGTAAACTGAAACCGAATAACTCATTCAAACCAAATGTAGTTTTGGGTAAACGATTTCAAGGTCAATCGTTTTGGTTAACGAAATAGTGATATCTTGTTCGGTTTGCATGATTATAGTTGTCGGTTATTTTTTATTATTTTAGTTAAATCGAATAATGCATTATACTATAATTTTTTTAAACATTTTACTTTTATACAAATAAAGCCAATAACACATTATACTATTATTTTATATATTTATGTGCAAAGAAAATGTTTTTACATGATAATATATAGATATATATATACACACAAACACACACGATGTGGCGCATTCGATATATAACTCAGTTGACAAATGGATGAGATGACTTTGCTAAAATACAAAACAGGTCTCGGGTTCTATACGTCCGTTCCCCCCCCCCCCCCCCCGCGGTAGCTTTAGGCACTAAAAAGGCAAAAGAAAATATTTCCCCTTGAAGACAAGTTCTATGTGGGGCCGATTTTGAGGTTGCCGATCAATTTTATTGCCCATAAATATACCATGTGCACAAAGAGATGACATTTTCTTGCTAAATAATGTTTTTGCTTCTTTGGTAGTTCAATTATCGAGCATGATACAATTATATATTGGAAAATATGGCCTTTGCATTTGGAAAAAGAGAATGGAGGGCAAGTGTCCAGTAAAAAGATGTGAACTTTTAATTATTCTGTTTATCCATTTTTCAAACCAAATAATCTTAAATTGATTAAACCGAACCTTATTGGGGGTTATCTGTTGGTTTGGAAAAAAAAATTGAAAACCGATCAATTTTCATGGAATACCTCGAAAACTGATGAAGTGACCAAATAATATCCCTAAACAAGACAAAGGATTTACTTAATTACCGGAGGCTATAAATCCCAGTGATATATATCCTAGTCTTTCAAACAACTTATCGTAGAATGTTTTTGGATGAAATGGAATCTGTTAAAGGAATTTGACTTTGAATGAATCAGAATGGAATGTTGTCAGGTTTGATCATATGTTTGGTTGGCAAATATTGGAATATGTTTGTTTGGTTCACAAAATGTAGTTTTGGAATTTGAATGAAATATTGGTAAATGACCAAAATGCCCTTTTTGAAAATTTTAATTTTTTTAAAACTAAAAATACTTTAATAAAATAATTGTTTAATATGTAAAACAATATAAAATACACAACCTAAACATAACCATAAGCCAAACGACGTTATTAAATCAGCGGTGGTCAGTGGTGGTTCAGATCGGTGATGATCCACGGTGGTCAGTGGTGGTTCAGATCGGTGATGATCCATGGTGGTAGTCCACGGTGGTTCAGATGGCGGTGTTCGGCAGTGGTTCAGATCGATGGTGGTCCGCGGTGGTTCAGATGGAGGTGGTCAACGGCGATTCAGATAGACAGTGATTCATACAGCGTGGCGGGTGGTTCAGATTAGTGGTTGTTCAAATAGTTGGTGGTCGGCGGTGTCCGGCGGTGATTCAGATTGGTGGTAGTCGCTGGCGAGCAGCAGTGGTTCAGATCGATGGTGGTCTGTGGTGCTTCTGGTGGCGGTGGTTGGATGTGGTTCAGATCAGGGGTGGTTCAGATAGGCGATGGATCAAATCGGTGGTTGGTCAGTCGACAGTGGTTCAGATCGTTAGTAGTTGGTGGTGGTTCAGATCGATGGTGGTCGACGATGGTCATATTGGGTTTTATGATATTAGGGTATAGTGGGTTAAGGGCATATTTGTTATAATGAAAAATAATAATTTCATTCCATCAAAATACCATATAATTGCTAAAGAATGTTAAATTCATTTATTTGTGGAATTTGTAGAATTTTGAAAACTTTTTCGAATGAACCAAACGAGGGAATAAAATTTAGTCAATAGAATTCAACATTCTAATTCCATCAGATTCCTTCAGAATCTACGAACCAAACTACCCCTTAAGATTTAGCCCTTTCATCATTCTCGTATAACCACAAGAACAAATTATTTCAAGTTCTTACCATCGGTTGCTTCAACACGCAAATGGTGGCGGTGGTTTTACAAGATCACAATGTTGCAGTACAACCCCTATGATATATGCACTCATGGACTCAACTATCTGGATTTGATGATAACACATAAGCAAACACTTAGAATGTTTTCGGATTTTAAATTGTTGCCTACTATCCAATTTACAAAGAGGATCTAAAAGTTAGAGGGTCCAATTCTTATTTTCTTTTTTCAAAAAATATTTTTTTTAAAATATTAGTAAAATAAATTGTGTTTTACTAATTTTATTCAATATTGATATATTAATAAATAATTTAGAATTTTTTTTAATTCATTTAATATATTTATCAAATAATATGTAAAATATCTTAATAATAAAATGTTAAAATTAAAAGTATAGTGTTGTAATAACAACCTGTAGATACTACAATCAAATAATTTTAGGGGGTGGCTAATGGCACCCCTATTATGTGCTAATGCCACCCCTAAGTAGGTTTCAATCATTTGTATTTTATAAATTTTTGTGTTTTTTTGTGAT